AATTTGATTAGGTGTTAAAACGACTAGAAGCAAGAAACCGATACTCCGCAAATTGAACAAGCAAAAGAAAGATGATTTCTATGACAAAGTTGATATGAAGTCATTGGAAACAAAATCGTCGCGATCATACCCAAGGGGGGATGAATCCTATAGGCGTCGTTCCGGGACAGAACATTATAGAATATCTTCTAATCAACATAGATCGAAACGTGGTGCGACTACTTGTACTTGTCTGGATAAAGGATATCATTATAACAATCTTGTGATGGACACAAAGTTTACCGGAAGCGTAGAAAAATTGTATAATCTCTTGTTTAATTGCGATTTTCTTGAGCTATTCTTGACGAATATTGAAAAATGTTCAGGTATGTCACTGGAAGCATGACTGTCAATAGACGATTCAGAACTAAGGTCATATATTTGGGCACTTTTCATTCAGATATTAAATTAGGCGAATGGAAACCAACACAAAGCAATGTTCTCCGACGCTCCTCATCATATACGATGCGTCTTACACATCCTATTGGTCCTAAATCCACCAAATGCTTCTTTGAGGATGAATGCCAACATTGTGACTATGATAACTATATAACCAACGTCACTACTACAACAACGCCGGACGTGCCCCAAGGCAACTGCTTTGTCGTTAAAACGCGCTTGTGCATAATGTGGGCTGGTGCAAATGAAGTGCGCGTAATAGTTACTTGTGGTATAGAATGGTCAAAGAATGCGTTTTTTAAAACACAAATTGAGCGAGGAGCGGTTGATGGTCAGCGAGCATATTACAAGTCATTAACAAAATATATACAGAACTTTATTGCGATGCATCCGGGTGAGTTCCAAGATGACTTAGGTTCACCTGTCCCAGAAATGGAGCAAGCAGCATTTGAACAATCTAATATTGAATCGGTATTGGCTATTGAGAACTTGCGCATTGGTGATAACACGCAAAGTTCAATAATGGAAGAAACAACGTTCCAACACTTTTTCGGTTCCCTATCGCGGAGCCTACCTTACGAGCTTGCTAGTTATCTGCAACAAGGTGCATCTCTCGTCGTCTCTGTTAGCCAACCAGCCAATATACTGTCGGCGAAATCACTAGTCTTCCTCGCATTCTTTGTGCTTCTAGTTTCGCACGTGCAAATGTTATTTCAATTGCGTGCAATTAATAATCAGATGAGCCTCGGGGTTTCTATGCCAGCAAATCAGGCCGCTTTGGTCGAGTTGCGGAAACGCTGGACATTCGCAATGTTAGATACATGGTATGAAAGGGATGACGAGGCATTACGAGAATACTTTGTTAAGAAATTTGGGGAACTAACCGTATAACTAGTGAGCGTGTTCGGCTTTCTTTTTTGTAAATTATTTTTGTCATACCTTGTAAATTCCCAATTATATATATATTCGTGCATTCTTCAAAAGTACACATAATGATAGTAAAAACTGAGTTCAGCAATAATACACCCGTCACGAAAATGACCTTGCTAGTGATTACCTATGAGTGTGGTCCGTTCATTCTACCTGATTGAATGCATGACGCTCGTAATACTATTATCCTATACGCATCACAAAATTAAAGAAGACAAATCTCTAGCTCTATATGCTTTATTATTTTTCCTGGCTGTCAGAGATTTCGTTTGCGGTTTTGCTATTAAACCATATGATGGTGAGAGTAAGGCAACCTGCATTAATGATTAACTTTCGTTCGCGCCCTTAGAGTCATATCATCAAAGAGAGTTCGCATTTGGCAAGTCCGTGCCTGATCTGAAACTTGATTAACTTGATGGCCCAGCCGTCTAATTCTGAATATGAAGTACTATAAATAAATAGATGCAGATCATGTGATATAATTTTTGAAATCTAAATTTGCTTAATATTAATACTAACAGAGTTGATATACCTCGTAGAAACTGCTGTTGTAATAAAATCCCACCCACTAGTATAATATATTAATGAAATCAACGAATTTGCTTTATAATTGTAGCAACGAGTTAATCATACGACCACAAGGTTCGCGGAGACTTTTTTGGTGAGTCAAAATATCACCAATCAGATTCGTTGTACGCCCTGAGAGTTTCTACTATTCAACAACTCCCCAGACATAATATCACTGTTACTACTCATTCGCAACAAGCCAATCTACCCTCATCATCTCTGTCCTCTTTTTAGGCAGCTATTCCCTCGTTTTTAATTTTCTTCTATATAAAGGCAGCAACGCCGGAGAAGGCATATTAACCATTTCCATACTTTATACACTTTCTGCCGCTTATTACCCAACACCACTAATTCCCTTGCAGAAACCTCCCAAAAAACAAATTTCTCATATTCTGACCAAGACAACCCGTAAGAACGATGGGCGGATCCGTGTCGAGAGCTTTGCTTAAAATCTTTGGGAATAAGGAGATGCGCATCCTCATGCTTGGTTTGGATGCTGCTGGGAAGACAAGTATCCTTTTTTTGTTGTTGATTCATCAGTTGGTTATGTGTCTCTATGCCATTACTATAATCCTGGCATGCTTACCTTCTGGGCAATTTTAAACGCGAACAATTGTCAGACGCCTGCTGCTCTTCACTTTGTGGTTGAAATTCTTGACTTTGTATTGTTTTGATAGCCATTCTGTATAAACTTAAGCTTAATCAATCTGTAACGACTATCCCCACTGTCGGTTTCAACGTCGAAACTGTGACTTACAAGAATGTTAAATTCAATGTCTGGGCAAGTGTCTAATACAATGTATTAAGCAGCGACTAATAATCGTTATGAGTATGTGTATACTATCCAGTGTATTAACTTATTAACACGCTATATCAGGATGTCGGTGGTCAGGACAAGATTCGTCCTTTGTGGCGTCATTATTACACCGGGACGCAAGGTCTCATCTTCGTAGTTGATTCCCAAGATCGTGATCGAATAGATGAAGCACGTCAAGAATTACACCGAATTATTTCAGATCGTGAAATGAGGGACTGTTTGTTACTAGTATTTGCTAATAAACAAGATTTACCTGGCGGTAAGTAACAAATAATGTAGAAGGATGGGACGTTGACCGGGCATTTATCTATAGCATGTTATCCTTGTTTCTCTGACAACATTGTTTCTTTACTTACATTATTAGCAATGTCGCCCGCTGAAGTTACCGAAAAACTCGGTCTGCATCGAATGCGTGATCGATCATGGTATGTCCATCCATCTTGCGCCACATCCGGTGATGGTTTATTTGAGGGTCTTAACTGGTTAAGCCAGAATGCTAAGACAAAGTAGAGAACTGCTACCGCTAAGATGCACGCTTTAAGAGGATACAGGGTAGATTGGGCTATGTCTAGAGTTATTCAGTTGTTGGTGGCAGACAGTTAGTTGTTTTCATGTAATACAACGTCATTTGGTTGTTGGTAGACTGTTTTTATACTTGTATTGTATTCTTTCAATTATTTAAGTCCCCATCTTATCTTTCAAGCATAACCTTTTTATTCATCTCTTCTCATAACAACCCATTTCAAGGGAGGAATGGGTGCCATAATATTCTGCCTACGACTGTGCACTAATAATATAGATAAACATATAATGTATGATTCTGGGTGAGATCATTGCGAAACGAATCATGTTTGTTGTGAATAATTGTAGTTGTATTATGTGCATATGTATGTATATAGAAACTGGCATGCATATTTAAAATTATCTACAGTCACTTGATCAGTTATATGCTACGATGAACTAAAACCTATTTTGAACAGAAGAGAATACTAGCTCATTTAGCGACAGCGTCAAGCGATCGATTATAAATTTCGGTTTTTATCCTCTCCTGATAAACGGACGCTCAGGTCGACGTGCTGGTTGCGATGGAATAGAACGCGGCGGCCATTCAGGAATGCTCCGTCCTCTTGTATCATTTCCCGCTTTAATGCGAGGAGCCATTCCGGGTTGTGATGCCTGCACTGGAGGACGTTCATATGGAGCCATTGGCATGCCGTAGTACTGATTATCATAGTATCCCGTGCGCATACTCTGATTGTCATAACGAGCGTATTCTCTTCCCTCCATCCTCCTATCAACATCCAGATATCGGGGTATGGGAGGGGGCATTAGCATAGGTGTAATAGTTGGTGGGCCTCCTGCGGCCCACGCTCCGTTTCCCATGTCCCATGGTCCTACTATAGTTGCGCCAGCATTACCGCCTCTGCCAACCACACCACCGCCACGTCCAGCATTACTGGCACCGCGTGATACACCACGGGCTGTAGGCGCTGAACTAGTACTAAGACGCCTTCCTCTTCCTCCTCTGATGCTGACGCTTGTCTGTACCGGCTGAGTAGAAGTTGGGATAATTCCACCTCGTTTCAGAGCTTGTATTCGAGTCGTCGGAGTAACTTTCTTCTGTTGAAGAGATGCTGCTGATGAAGGCGTTGATATCGTTACATTTCCAGTTAGCATATCTGGATGTTGCTGGTTAGCTGGGATCTTACCAGAGATGAAATCATCCACATGAACTGATGGAGGACGACTAGTATTTGCCTTTCTATTATTGTGAATACTTCTAAACTCATTCTTCTGATATGTCTTGCCACCACCTAAATTCCGGCGAGCATTACTTTCATACGCAATTCCGCCTAGTTTACTGACAGTGCCACGTGTTCTTAGCAACTTATCACCTTTGTTAGCATTGCCTTCTGACATCCTCATTCCTTTGTGATAATGGAAATTAGGCAACATTTCCTTAGCATATGCTTCAAAGTCTATTTCGATATCTGATGTGCCGAATATACCTCCGTCACCACCTTTGTTCTCTGCGTCATCAGCCACGTCATAAAACATGGTTCTACGTAATGCATCTAAAACGTCGAAATTAGATACCAGTTCATTAGTATCGCGAATAGTTATATAATCTATAAATTTTCGCATGCTTTGTTGCAAGAAGAAAGAAATCTTACTCGGTCTATATCTGACATCACCAACGTCGTTGGATTCTTTCTTATTGGATTCGATCAATTGGACAAAGTGTGAGTTATATACTTCAATTATATCGAGTAATTGATGCTTATTGCCAGATTCCTTCAGTTCGAGTAAATATGCGTGCATACTCTCTCTCAATCGACGAAGAACTGATGCAACTTCTTGGCAAGTATTTACCTCATATACTTCATCAGAGTGACGAGGCTCGTATGGCAGTTCAAGAACGCGTTGCTCAATGTTCTCGTATGACTTGAGGAGAGTTTCTACATCATCAATTGAATCCAGCAACAAAATTAAGCATCCGACATTGCAATCATTACCATCATTAATAGTGTCATTAATAGTCTCACTACCCGTCATATCATCAGTAGCTAAATCTGGGGCATTATCGATTATCCGTTGTATAAACAGTGCGGAATGAAGGCAAATATTTAAATCTTCCAGCCTCAAATCATTAGAACGTAATATCTCGGGAACCCATGTGAGTAGGCTACTGACAGACTGTCGATGACTCTCATACGATAGAATCAACATTAAACCCATTTCTATCTCCGTAAACTTCTGCAATATTTGCAGAGAACGAATCTGCAGATGTCCGCTGTCTTGCACCACCCATTCCAGTAAATTCTCTAAAATGTATGACATTTCATCAACGCCAAACATATTACTATGGTACATCGTCAAGGTATGATCACATATATCATATATAAACTCCATGATAAGATCGCCTACCACCTGGGAAACACTATGGCTGCGGACAACGTCAAATAATATATTAAGTAAACTATCATCGGAATTCTGTTTTCTTTCCTTAAAAGCATTATCTACTTCCATGGCATCATCTAACCTATTATTCAACACATCAAGCATGCACAGTCTTCCACACGGAACATTGACTGTGGCATTAAGAAGGCTAAGCCATCGACAGAATATAGATTCATCTTTTTCCATTTCGGGCATCGAAATTGATACATCTTCCATATTGTCAAGTTCATTATCATCATTGTTTGATGTATTATGACGTTTCGATTCTAACCTGTTCAAAGATGATCTGAGTGTAATTGCCGCTTCTCGTACGCCACAGGCCATCACATCAACTATCGCTCTTCCCAGACCAGCATCGTTGACGTCTAAATCGACGAGTTGACAGCAAACTGTTCTGAGTTTTAGATGAATTATCTTGGAACTAGATGGAGCCATACATCTAACCAAATTCATTATATCATCACTCAAAGGCAGTAATTGTTTAGTCCAATATTCTCTCACTGCAAAAGCATTCAACAAATCGGCCGTTCCGTCATTTGCAGTAAAATCATTCAGATTAGCACGTCGCGATTCGGATGCCAAATTCACAGACATCTCATGACCGCGATCTCCACTTGTAGCCAATTCTCGCAGGTTAGGCAATAGATCACACATAAGTATTAGTCCGCTCAGAAAGTTTTCAGGCGCATCGAACGTGAAATTAATTAAATGCTGGATGATATGTCTTCCAGCATATTCGGACAAATGTCGAGAACAGACTGACGTTCCTTGCCCAATAGATCGTCGCTCTGTTATGACCATTTGTAATAATAATCTAAACATACTTAGTACAAGTTCACGCAGTCTCTCTATCTGAGCCATCTGACCCCTTTTTGGCGGTTGTGAAATATGTAGTATTGTTGTCCCACCTAATTGCTTACTAATGTGTCCATCTAATCGATCGAGTGCTGAGGTGAGTTCCAACAAAGACTCAATAAATGCTAGTAGCATGGATCTTTTTTGTGACGGAAGTGTATCATCGATTGTCTCATCCTCTTCAAATATGTTTTTAAAATGTCTTTTTGATACATTGGACTCTCGATCTTCATACACGTATCGAAATAGTCTTCTTATTAGTAATATATTGCACGACACTAAACTTAATAAATCTGCTTTTAGATCAATAGTCTCCATAAGAGATAAGTTTGAAGCAGGCATATCGTCTGGCATTAATTCGCAATGACACTGTTCATCCTTATCTTGTTTATCAAGCTTGTCCTGCTTATCCGATTCATTCTTGTTCTGTTCAGTTAGGGGCATTTTTATCTCTTGTCCTTTTGATTCTTCTGTATTATACACTTTACTGATACTGTTCTGACTAGAGTCTGATGATGTATGATGATCTGAATAAACAACGCTATCACTTAAGTCAGACAGCATTTCAGCAGCCTGTCTTGTTAATCTTAACAGAAATACTATTAGGCTATCACCATTATCTAAGCCGCTGAAGTCATCGGTACGTGCTGTCAATAATTGCAATATCCCGCCATCGACGTATGTGTAACATATAAGAAGCCGCAATCCTATCAGGACTTGATTGACGATATTGCGATCTCTAAGACATTCCGGATAATATTTCTGATGTTTAATTATATCCACAACACTCTGTATGCTACCCGATTCATGAAACGTAGCGATTGGAAGCCATAGGGCACGTAAATGACTCTCCGTAGCAAGCGTAGATATCACACAATCGTTTAGGTCTGCACTTAAAATAAATGGAAATGCCGCACTGTGCTTCACGACCAATTCAAATAATTCCAATGATATGTCAGATGCGAATGTCGCCATGGACGCAGAAATAGATGATTCTGCTTCACGAGATATATTATTTAACGATAATAAAGATGGTAGTGCATCCAAACCGATAATGGCTGATGCAACAGCCTAGAATGAGAACGATAATGGTAATGATGAATAGCATTAATATGAAAATCGATAATATAAAGCTCAATGATACTAATCAGTAAAATACAAAGAAACCATCTAACTAATAATGTGATGTGATATTGACAATTACCTGTTTTCCAACGTTACAAACAGTTAACTCGTGTAGTTTCATTAATAGAAATAGAATTTTTTCATTGTCTTGTCCATCATTGCCATCTTCTGACACATGTTTAATATATAATAATAGTCTCTCTACTATCCCGATGGCATGCATCTGGTATCTTAGTAGTATGGCTAGATGTTCGGGCGATGTTTCTAATCTATCCAAGCAATCGTTATCCGCTCCAATTGTTCCACAACTTTGCATCCGGAGAATCTGTCGCGCTTTATGACGATCAGGATCACCATGTTGATGACAATCGTCATCATCACCATCATCGTCGTCGTCGCCATCATCATTGCCACACGTTGACGTCTGCCAATGTCCACACCATAAATCAGCTATACCTAAGGTATCTCTTATATCCTGATTATTGTTCCATCTCTCGGTAGTAGTAGATGGCGTATTAGGGACGGATGCTTCCGAACTATCTTCATAGTGCGCAGACGAATCTTCACTTAGATGATGTAGTTGACTCATCCATACAGCAATCATTCTCTCATTATGCGGCGGTATCACTTCTTGCAATTGTTTGGCCAAATAAACCATTCCGCTGTGAGTTCCCATCAATGCCACGCAAACTCTCCCGATATAACTGATCAGTACATCATATTTGGACGATGATTTAAAGCGTTCGGATGATATAATAGTTGTTATTGACGAAAATAAGCCCGTGATAGTGAGATACTGGAAACTGAATGCGGACGGGCGGTCTGAACTGTCTTCTCTCGGCTTCAAAGCAGTATGATAAAGTACTGCTTTATATATTATCTTCAGTTTTTCACATAAAACGTTGACTACCGTGTCAACGTCTCCTCTGTCATTTTCAGCTCTCTCTTGATCAATCATCATTGGAGTATTATCTGCAGTATCCGGTGTCTCTCCTTCATCCACTACCGAATTAGCCGATTTGCGTCTTTCCAGTTTAACTTTTCCCTTCTGAAATTTTGAATTGACGCGATCTTCATCTTCAGCTATCTTCTTTATGCAGGCGCAGGCTTCATAAGAACCTACTTTGCGTACTATATCATGTACTAAATACAACACTCGAGTAGGACGATCAGGAATATACAGAATATTTACAATATGCTTATGGTATAATACATCACCCTCATTAGAACCATTATCACCATTACTCCATCCAAGTAGTCTATCAACGACTCGCGAATCGTCCATACATTCTAACAAGTTTCTCAGTATAATCGATTGAACATACGTTGAAATATTAGATTCGCTCAGTAGTTCCACTATTCTATTAACACATCTCCATATCTATGTGAAGATAAGATTATGTCGAGCATATGTGCATACGTATATACATATTACGTTAAAATACGAAAGTAACGAAATTAAATAGCAAATAAGTAAATTGCGTACCAACGATGATTCAACAATATTACTGCCACAGCTACATAGCTTCCTAAACACCGCAAGGCTACTTTCCATGCATTTGACCGACGACTGTAAAAGCGCAGGGCAGGTAGGTTTATCACGTGGTACATGGAAGCAAGCATTAACAAAAAATAATACACAAGACACATGAGAACAAAGCAAAAGTAGTGACCTTTCCAGATGGCAAATCGCATCCAAACAATATAGCCTTTTCAGTGATATTTAATACATCTGTACGAAATAATATTATTAAGTGAAGTAAAGTCAATCAACAAATAAATCACTTTATCAGTGCAATATCGATCGGTCAGATACCAATACTTACCAACATACGGTTCTTCATGATTCAGGGCCCATACACATCCCTCCACTATCACATCAGCAATCGAACTCAATAACTCTGTTAAATTATATCTACTGTTTTTTATATAAGAATCTTCAATGTCCATTTGATCAAAATCATCTCTATCCAAAATGTCAATCAAAGATTTGGCTTGTTGCGTATATGTTTGCAAACATTTCCAAGAAATCTGATAGTCATCTTCCAAGAAACATCTCAACGTTCGAGTTGAGAGATTTTCATCAGGTGATATGGAGTACTAGAGTATACAAGTGTTGCGCTTAATGCATTTTACGGAAAGTAGCATAAAAAATGTATGACATTGACAAAGACTTAGCCATTATTTACCACTATAATTTCTCCGTTATTTCTCCATTTCTGCAACAGGTCCATTCTCTGAGAAGATATTGGTAGCTCAATAGAGACAGTCGTGTCTTTACTCTTTGTATTCAGTGTCTTGGCACTTTCCAACACTCGACCATATATACACAATGTCACTGCCTGATAATCGCCCCTGAGAATGATAAAACGCGTGGTTGCCTGAAGCAAAGAATTTGTAAACGTTTAATCATCATGCTAATGCTTTCATATAGCATATAGAGTATATATGCATATGCATATATTTATAATAGTATACCTCCGGCGATAACTTCACGTCGTAACTCTGAAATCCTCGTCGTTCATCATAGGATATTGTTAACGGGTGTAAGGGTAAGTTAACAGAACGTTTATCCTGCGACTTTGGCTGTTCAGCTGTCAAAGTTTTGTGAATTAGGAGGTGTAGATCAAACTTTGGTGGTGAGGTTTGTCTATAAGAGTATAGAGTAGACTCTTACTTAATAGCATACATAACGCTAACATTATTCCAAAGACACAAGGCGCATACTAACCCAACAAAATTACTCTTGCGTGTATTTTGAAACGGTTTGAAGTTTTTGGGAACTATGTTAATCTCTGACAAGACAACGCGCTGGTGAAATCTTATACATTCTGTTGGCAGATCTTCAAGGCTGGTAGAATTAGCTGTTAGAGTGTCGAAGAATAATAGTTGTGTTGAAGGGCTAGAAGTTGTGATAGAGGGCCCGTTGCTACCGGGTGGTAATGCAGTCATTATGATTGTAATTGACAATCAATCGATATCTTTATTTATGCTATATTTATAGCACTCGTTTTCATGGATGTAGAGAGAGGTCTTGCGCAGCATCATAAAAACCCGTTTGAAATCAAGTTACGTCATGCGTAAATAGTAATACTTTACGTATTACAAAATATACCGTAGACCACTGACTAAAGTCCCCCCCCGTGTATAGTACCCTGCAGCAGTTTGGGCCGGCAAAATTGTAAAAGACCCGGGTATTATACAAATCAGATA